GATAGATTAGAACAACTTTGTGAAGCAGTAGTTTCACCCATGTGTGGCCCTTCAAAAATTACAGATCCACAAAGAGTTAGTGATGTCATAAAGGAGGGAAACATGAAAATATACAAGTGACTCGTGGTTAGAGATGATGATAACATATCACACATGTAAAGAAGTCTATGAAAACAATCTGTAGTATTGAAATCAAAAATTCCTGTTTTCAACAATATCTACTCCATGGATTGGATGTAAATTAGCACAGAGGCCAGCCATCCATATTTTGGAGGAGAAAGTGGAATCTTGCAATGAACCAGGAGGGAATTATTGAGGGAAGCACACCAATAGCAGGACTTTTAAAGGAGACATAAAATAATAATAGCCCTTTTTAGAAATTATTTCACAGCTGGTTCTCTGCAGAGATTTTGTCTTACTTCCCCATGATTCTCATCACTGTGCTGATAGTTACTATCATAAGACAAACAGAAGTAGTCAGCCTCATCTTCCGTCTGTAGATCAGTGATGGTCAGGGAGGCTGAGTTGGAAGAGGATCGGTCAATGGAGCCAGAGAACCTATCAGGAACCCCAGATGGTCTTTTATTGTGTTCATAGATCACAGTTTGGGGCGAGCTTCCAAAGTGCTGCTGGTACCAGCTCACATCGTAGCCCAAAATGTTGCCACTGCTGCGCTTGCAGGAGATGGTGACTGTTCTCCCTAGAGACTCTGACACAGAGTTTGGCTGAGTTAGCACAACCTGGGCACATGATCCTTCAAAAAAAAGATAAGAAAAATCAGTGAAGGCAAGCAAATCTCATTCACCATGTAGAATATTGTCTAAATATCCAAAGCAACAGTTACATATTTACAGTAACTTTCCTCAAATCCACTTACCTATTAAGTGATGGAGGAAGATGAGCAATAGTGGAGCCCAAGTCATGGTGAAGGCACCCAGATTCTGCTTACTGAGTCCAGCCAACTGACTGTAGCTGGGCCCCCTTCTTATCAGTTGGCAGGTTTCTAAGTACAGGCTGGCTCCATGCCAATACCCTTCTTCCTGGGGAGGACAGGCTCCTCCTTTTACTTCACACTAGTTTGACTGAGAAGTGGAAAGGCTATCTATAAGGAGGATGTGGATTCCACCAAATGGCAGGACAGAAAAACTGGGAAACAAAGGGAAAACATCAGAAACTGGGGAAAAATAAGCAGGTAATTAGCCATGCACTCCCCAATGCAACCGTTTCCCTCCATTTGATGTGTGACTGCTGGGTCACCCTCCTGTCAGTAGTGAGACCATTTTGGAAGTCACATTGCACTGTCTGGGCTCTGAGTGCATATGAATTGTGCAAAATGAAATTTTGTAGATGTCAGTTGAGGCTGTGGAAAAGCCACTTTACATTTGTATAGAGGTTCAATGACTGGTTTGAGAGGCACATTATTTTTTAACTCTAAAAGACCAGTGGATGTAATGGTAGGCATTTCCACAAAAGAATTGTTAATAGATTGAAGGTAAGAATTTGTTTTAGCAGTTAAAAATGCCTGGTGTTCCTACAGAGAAAGTGTTTATCATTCCTTCATCCATTCCAGACAGCACAACCTTCAGTATTTTCTACTCTAGGGGATCAGATGCCCTCTTGGGTTCCCTATATGCCCAGACATTAGCACCTATGCCCACACTGTCAATACAGAGATTATCTACCATCTGCTGTCCACATAACATGTCTAGAAAAGCAGTGAAAATGCATCTGCTTAAATCTCAACCCGATACTCTAATGGATTCCCTTATCTAATAGTTGAAAATTTGTAGTGTTCAAGAAATGTAGTAATAGAGAAGAGGATACAAAATTGTATATGCTGACACTTAGTTATTGAAAATGTTTAGTTTCTGTGTCTTTATTATAAACTAAGTAGATACAGACCATGAAATCATGAGATTCTTTTGTTGGTAAAAGTACTTCCTGGGCAATGACTTCTTTGAGATAAAAGAGGAAGTATGAAACAGTTATGAGTTTACTACTCATGTGGCCAATGG